AGAAACCGATTTATATCTCTGTTATCGCAGAGACACTGACACCGATATATCTCGGTTACTAAAGCTGTACCGGGCACTGAGTGATATCTCGGTTACCACAGTGTGCTGGTTTGATCGTGCTGACAGCTCAACCACGGTTGGAAATAAGCTGAATTCTATCGGGTTTGAAAGAATAGTAATAGAGTAGGTGAATAATCCTTCTTAGAAGAATTCTAGGTGTGTGGTGATGGCGAGCGGGAGTCGCCTGGGCTCATAACTATAAAACGGATAAGATCACCAATATACGAAATGGGCCGATACAGCCGAACTAGAAGAGATAATGTACGAAATAGGAAGACGTGAATCCAAAATAGGTAATCCTCTGCGAGGCAGAATAATGATCGAATTCAACTGAGTCCTCTATTAGCGAACAGAGGATTTCACCCCCCTTTTATAGAGGTGGGAGATGACTGATATCCTTATGCTCATACTGCTCATTTTATATACAAATCTAGCCCGAAAGGGCAAACAAAGACATAATAGGAAAGATATCCCTCAATAGGAGAACTATCGAAACAGGCAAATTTTTGAGGTGAAAGTAAAACTGTAAGACAGGTTAGTTAGATACAGCGATACGGCCGTAGCGATATATCTCGCGCCTGTGGCGGAGTGCACCATGGTTCCAACATGCTGCGTTTGCATGCAGCTTACCAACAGCTTTCGTCTCAAAGAATTTGCCTTTTTTGATAGTTCTTCTATTGAGGGATATCTTTCCCATTGTTATGTCTTTGCTTGCTTTTACAGTCTACATTTGCATGTAAAATGAGCAGTATGAGCATAAGGATATCAGTCATCTCCCACCTCTATAAAAGAGGGGTGAAATTCTCTGTTCACTGAGGGAGTTGGACTTCAGTCAGTCAGTTCAATACGATCACTATTCTGCCTCACTAAAGGATTACCTATTTTGGATTCACCGCCTTCCTATTTCGTGCCCTATTTTGGCCATATCAGCCCCGTTCGTATATCGGCTATCTTCTCCTTTTTATAAAAACCCAGTAAGCCGCATGCAAACGCAGCACGTTGGGCCGTAGTACAGTCCGCCACAGGCGCTAGATATCTGCCGAGCGCCGAATGTCTCACCCATCTTACAGAACGGCTGCTAGAATTCCGCGATGTTCTCACGTGACGTTTGCTTAGTTAGCAAATTAGTGGTTGTTAGCACGACGTCATCAACGTTGAAAGCATGTCGAGCTTGTTCCGATCAAATCTAACCATCCCTGTTTTTGGGTGTAGAGGAGCGTGGTGAGTCGTGGCATGAGGCGCAGACTTGAAAAGGCACCATCAATTCAATAGAGGATTCTTTGTCTCTATACGCAGCTAATTTAGTGAATTAAACGATAGTCATGGCATCAACGAATGCAGTGCATCTGAACCGGTCCTTAAACCAGTCATCAACCTCCGATCTTAAATCCTCGCGACCATTATTTTTACAGCCCCTGTCGCTCACTCTTTATCCGTTGACCCTTCTACTGGGCTCTTTGTATTCGTTGATATCCCCAACCGCAAAACGTTCTGCCAACCTGTCCTCGTTATCGACTCATGCACCAGACGCAGACCTAGACCCGGTGAATTATTTTGCGCGAAAAAAAAATATATTCAATGTATACTTCGTCAAGATTGGCTGGGTTTGGACTACATTAGCCTTCATATGTCTGCTCTTGACGCAGCCAGCCTTTACCAGCAGGTGTGTGTCTCCTAACACTCGACTACGGAGAGTGGGACAGGCTGTTTTCCGCTATGCTCTTGTGACGACATCCTGGTGGTTGACAACGCAATGGTTTTTTGGTCCTGGTATTATCGACCGCAGTTTTGTTGCTACCGGGGGTAGATGTGAAGCGCCTTTTCCGTCATCCGCCAATCCAATATCTGAATTGGCCGTGGTATTGACGGCCACGGCATGCAAGGCATCCGGTGGGGCTTGGACTGGCGGCCACGATGTCAGTGGACACGTTTTCATGCTTGTTCTTGCGAGCGCTTTCTTGCTCCTTGAGCTGCAAGGCGGGTCGTCATCCGCAGGGGAGATGGATGGCAGTAAGGACAAATATCACGGGACTGTCGAAGAGTTTCCATACGCAGAAAGATGGGGACGATATTTCGTGCTAGCTGTTGCTAGTCTCAGCTGGTGGATGCTGCTTATGACAGCGATGTGGTTTCACACGTGGCTTGAAAAGGTAATACCTTCTCGACGTTCCAACATCGGTCGATCTATCGTAATAGTCTTCAGTTTGCTAACAATGTGTTTAGGTAACTGGCTTGGTTATTGCTCTCGGTGTAGTATACACTATATACTTCCTCCCCGGAATGCTAGAACCATGGAGAAGCATTGTTGGAATACCCGGTCGATAAGAAAATACCGTATGGAATTGGTGCCGCCTGATCCATATATATATGTAACATTGTTTTGCTGTTGTGGAGTTTATAGACACTTTTGCCCTTTACGTTTCGCAACTAGACTTCCTAAACGGACATTTCGCCCTCGCCCGCTCATTACCTAAATAAACATAGCTTTTATCAAAACACTTTTCGAAAAGGGAGTGCATAGTGAACTTTCATTTTCTCGAACCTATAGATCAAATGTGATCAATTGGTTCATCACCCAGATAGCGAGATTTGAAAGCTATATGCAAAATCAAATCATTAGACCTGCTAACAAATTATGCACTTTTCTTAAGACGGACCACATAATAGTGCCATAGCTGCTACTGCTTACCTCCTGGTATTAATGCTGTAGAATACATAACCCTGGTGATAGGCTTTAGATCGTCTGGAGTCAGTGATGACGAAATGTAGTTTTGCCACTGGGTGATTATCTCATTTGATCGAGCATTCAACTGTGTTGCCACGTCGCTCGATTTTGCGCTTGTTAGGCAGCCTATACCGAGGCACGACCCGAACTCCCTGAATGCCAGACGTAACTGCAGGTTCGACTCTAGGAAATGATTCTCATCGAATAGCCCACCTGTGATCCGGAAAGGGGCAAAGTTAGCAAACCAAGTCTCGAGTGTTTTTCCTAGAAGATCACTATCCTGGGGGAGATCCCCGGATCGGGTGTGCAGTGAGTATTACGGAGCTGAGCAACACATCTGTTGGACAGATCACGAGCCCATTTTTCCCTCTCAGCGAACCAGTGAGCCGTCCAGAGCGTCATTCCCAGATCGAGAGGATCCCTCGTCACGAAGTAATCCCCTTTACGGGTCATCACCCTTTTGTAGTCGCCAATTTCTTCCTCGAGAATTGCCCCATCGCCGTACTTCAAAGCGGATGCTTGCAGCAGACGGAAAACCACGTAACCGTCGATTGGATCTAGATTCCCTTCGCTAGCAACGAGTGGGCGTGACAGATCCATGGAAACCTTCCATACCATGTGCGGCCGTTCTGAAGCACGGTTGAGGAAGAAGTGCGGATGGATGGCTTTTGCCAGGGAGACAGCTTGTCTGTTGTAAGACGGATCCCCAGTTGCTATCGACATTCGGTTGAGAGCAAACATCCACATAGTGAGATAATGAAAATACTGGCCGTCGCCATTGGGACCTGTTTCCTCTTCCTTTCCGATCCGCAAACCGCCCCTCAGGGGCTCCTCGTCAGTTGCGTCAGGGAGTCGCGAATTGCCATCCCGAGTACTGCCCAAGACATCGTGGACGGTAGCGATGAGGCGCTGGGCAAAGAGCAGATAGTTGTTGGCTGCAGCCTTGTTGTCTGCTGTTAACGACGTCTCCTTAAAAAGGGTCAGGAAATTCAAAACGCCAAAGGCATCTTTCCAGAGATAGCGGCCTCGATGGCCTCCCGAGTTTGGGGGAGGTGTCCATTGGGTGATGTCGGAAACATCGGAGAACTTCCCATACACGCTTTCCATCGAGTCTTGGAACTTCTGAAGGAGCGACATTTTTTTTTTTTTCTTTTTTGGAATGAATAAGATAGCAATCGCTTTTACGATATTCTACTAATATTGAATAATAGGGTGATGGCAATGCATTTGTCAAGTTGCCTCCCTGGCGGCATTTACTTCTAAGTGGTTTACGGTGGTTGGGTGGTTGAGGCGCTTGGTGCGAAACCAGAGTTAACGAGGGATGGAAACTTGGGTCGGGATGAGGTCATAGTTATTAGTTAGTCAATAACATGAGAAGACAACGGTTAACTAACCAGGTAACTATGGGAGGAACTCTCTAGCTAATCAGCTCTAACTAAACCAGTCAGATAGAACTAGCCAAGTTCTCTTCTGACTTGGTCAATTTGATTGAATTTCGTGGGTAGCTGATCCTGTTGAAAATTGATCACGGGGTCTATGACCTAGTGATACATGAAAACAATATGGCAGTCTCTGAAACTGTGGGATTTTTCTTGCCTCTTAATGATGAATACTGTGAGTCCAATTCTCCCCTTTATTTCTACAAAGTTCCTTGCATTTTATCACTGCAAATTGAATGACATGGATTCTGTGTTGAGTTGGATAGTTATATAATTGAAGAAGATATTTTGAAATGGTTGCTCGCTTGCTTGAAACTTTACATTAGCTAACTAACATATGGTCAACAAAACAGCAGAGGGGGGTTCAAGGCCAGTTTCAGCAAGGCCTCCAGCAACCTCCAGGTTAGCTGCGCTCAGCTCATCTCAGCTCGGGGCGCGCTCGGGGCTCGTCTGCCTTGTCTGCGTGCTGATCATCCAAGCAGCTTCCCAAAGCGACCCCCCTCCCCCACCCCCCCTTCCCCCGCCGGAGGTCTCAACCGGATAATATAAGCGAGGTCTCCCGCGGAATTCCCGGCTCTCCTTCTCCAACTCTTACTTCCCCTCCCAGTCTTTTCATCTTCCTCTTGTGCTTGTCCACCCTGCTGGTCATGGAATGAAATTGCTGCCAGCGAGCAAACTACTCTTCTCCCCTTCGCCATTACGAAGTTGTATATCGCTATGAGGGCTGGCTGGCTTCAGTTCGGGGTGATTTCCATTGCTAACTTTGCCATTGCAGAGGTAGGTTTTGTCACAGTTCGATTGTTTGTCTGTATATTTCTTCCCCAAGTCTGAATATGCGTTGTTTTGTTGTGATACGTGTTTTTGTTTGCCGCCTTTTGTTACCCTGATTTGTTTCCCACTGTTCATTTTGACAGTAGTACAATTCGTTCACATTGTGTATATTGTGCTTTTCATGGATTTTATAAAATCGAGCTAAAAACACACCAAATATGGATAGCTAACTCAGTTGCAAAACTAGGAGCTTCTTGCACATTCACCCCCATACTATCCATCTCCATGGGCGTCTGGCCAGGGAGGTTGGGCAGATGCCGTTCAAAAGGCGCGTGATTTTGTATCTCAATTGACCCTCGCCGAGAAGGTCAATTTGACAACCGGTGTAGGGTACGTCCGGTCCCTTAGACCAATGACAGACACACCCTTGAACACACCGGTGGCGCAGCGGGAAATTATTTTGGGTAGAAGATCAGCTGTGAAGTTCGTTGATTTAACCTGCCATTAGGTGGATGCAAGAGAGCTGTGTAGGCCAGGCAGGATCAATTCCCCGCCTTGGTTTCCGCTCTCTCTGTTTGCAAGATGGGCCTCTTGGAATTCGCTTTGGTGAGCACTCACACCTCTCGACCTTTGTAACATCTCCTCTCTGACAAAAAACCAGCCGATTATGTTTCCGCCTTCCCCGCAGGTGTCAATGTCGCTGCCACTTTTAGCAAAGAACTCGCTTACGAGCGTGGGAGGGCAATAGGGGAGGAACATCGAAATAAGGGTGTGGACGTTGTTCTAGGCCCTGTAATTGGTCCATTGGGCAGGTCACCAGACGGGGGGCGAAATTGGGAAGGCTTCAGCCCTGATCCTGTCAATTCAGGATTTCTTGCTGCAGAAACTATTAAAGGGATCCAAAGCGCCGGTGTTGTTGCTTGTGCTAAACATTTCATAGCTAACGAGCAGGAACGATTCCGCCAGGCACTTGAGGCTCGAAGCTATGGTTTCAATATTTCGGAAAGTTCGAGCTCCAACATTGATGATATAACGATGCATGAGCTATATCTCTGGTGAGTGTCGCTTAACAGTTACTTCAATTACATTGGCTCACTTATAATAGGCCTTTTGCAGACGCTGTTAGAGCAGGTGTAGGATCTATTATGTGCTCCTATAACCAAATTAACAACAGTTACGGCTGCGCAAACAGCTACACGCAGAACAAGCTACTAAAAGCTGAGCTTGGCTTCCAGGGGTTCATTATGAGCGATTGGCAAGCTCAACATAGTGGTGTTAGTTCTGCTCTGGCCGGCCTGGACATGTCTATGCCAGGTGATACGGTATTTGGCACTGGTAGATCCTTCTGGGGAACCAACTTGACTGTTGCAGTTGCGAATGGCACGGTTCCTGAATGGAGAGCGGATGATATGGCCATTCGGATTATGGCTGCTTACTTCAGAGTTGGCCGCGATGAGGAAGAGGTACCCGTCAACTTCAATTCTTGGACTCGGAATGAATATGGATATCAACATGCCCTGGTTGGCAACGGCTACGGCAAAGTAAATGAAAGAGTGAACGTTCGTGCAAGACATGCATATATTATCAGACAAGTTGGAGCAGCTAGTGTCGTGTTGCTTAAGAACACAGGGAGTCTCCCTCTCACTGGTTTGGAAAAAACCACCGCCATTATTGGAGAGGATGCAGGCCCTAACATATTCGGGCCGAATGGTTGTCCTGATCGAGGTTGCGCCAGCGGCACATTGGCAATGGGATGGGGAAGCGGTACTGCCGACTTCCCATATCTCGTTACTCCTGCAGAAGCTATTCAGAATGTGATCCTCACCAAAGGTGAGGGCATAGTGGCTCCGATTTTTCACAATTGGGCGTTGTCGCAGATCAAAACAGTATCCTCTCAGGCCACGGTTTCTCTAGTCTTTGTTAACGCCGGTTCTGGAGAAGGATATATTTCTGTGGATGGGAATGAAGGGGATCGTAAAAATTTGACCCTTTGGAAAGGAGGAGATGAATTGATCAAGACCGTGGCGTCAAATTGTAACAATACCGTGGTTGTGATACATAGCACAGGGCCCGTCTTGGTTAGCAAGTGGAATGAACATCCCAATGTGACGGCAATTTTGTGGGCTGGTTTACCTGGCCAAGAGAGCGGTAACTCAATTGCGGATATACTATACGGAAACATCAATCCAGGAGGGAAAACTCCCTTCACCTGGGGCGAAACAGCGGATGATTATGGCACACCCATCTTAAAGGAGCCAAATGCGGGAAACGGCGCACCTCAGATCGATTTCACGGAAGGAATTTTCATCGACTACAGAGCATTTGACAAGGCCAACAAATCCCCAATCTACGAATTTGGATTTGGGTTAAGTTACAGCACATTTTCGTACTCTGATCTAGATATTTCACCCGTGAAGTCTCGGCCCTATATCCCCACAGACGGTAAAACGGAACCGGCTCGCAATTTTGAGGATCCCGATAGAAACTTGTCCTCCTATTTATTCCCCATGGACGTGGATCGTGTTCCGCTCTACATATACCCATGGTTAAATACATCTGATGCCGCCAAAGCCACTATGGATCCCCATTACGGGCTATTTACAAGTGACAATGTCCCGCCCGGTGCTACTGATGGTTCAGCACAAGACCTTCTTCCAGCTGGTGGAGGACCAGGTGGAAACCCTGGTCTTTATGATATCCTATATCAAATTACGGCGACCATCACAAACACTGGCGATATTCCTGGTGATGAAGTCCCTCAACTTGTAAGCAGCTATTGTACTCTAAAGCTAAAATAAAGGATGCAAATACCAAACACTGACTCTTCATATCTAGTATGTATCTTTGGGCGGTCCCAACGATGCCAAAGTAGTCCTTCGAAATTTCGACAGGCTCACTATTGCTCCCGGTGAAGCCAAGGTCTGGAAAGCTGTGTTAGCTCGACGTGATATATCAAATTGGGATCCTATATCACAGAACTGGGTGATTAGTAAATACCCAAAAACGGTGTATGTGGGTAGTTCATCGCGAAATTTACCACTATCTGCGCCTCTGCCCCCAATGAATGTTGAAAAGGCTTTTGGCTTTCTTTTGTCTTGAACTGGATAGATGCGATCTTCCTGTTCCACCCAATTATAGAACAAGCTTTGGCATTAGGTTTACACTGCTGGAAATTCCCACCGTCTGATAGCTTAATGATCATTATACTAAACTTATAATACCAAAATGAAGTTCTTATTGTCCTTTCTTTCTTGGAAATTCATAACTGGTAACGAAACTCATCGTGTTAGTTATTCTTTCTTACCCACGTGTGAAGAATAAACTTTTTGATTTCTGTGAATTCATTTTCCATCTCAGGAAAATTGAGGTTTTTGAATCAAGACTGTTGGCAGGAAGAGGTCAACATAAAAACTCTAGTTGTTATTTTGAGAGTTTGGCCGAGGGAGAGGGGGAGTGAGTGACTGGCATCGAAGAGATGGCTATCAAGTAAATCCAACAATCTCCCCTGATGGGTGAGTAGTGCTATACATACATACTTTTCTCGTTGATGTTGCTGCTGTTGCCAACTTTGGCCCGCGCTAGTTAAGAAATGCGGGGAATGTGGGTCCATCTACCTTAAAATATTTAAACTCGTTTAAGCTTTGGGAAGCTAACATTAAGCTTATTGTAACCCCTCTAAATATCCTCACCCAACTCTAAAAGCTAGATTAGGTTAGATTCATCTATGGCGAAGATCACTGGAATAAGATTCACCTCCTTGGATGTTGACTATATTTTCTAATACTCTATCAGAAATTTCTTTGTAAACTGAAAACCAAGCGTTTTTAAGTTGAAGGACAACCAGTAGAAAAGAAGCATATGGGGAGAAGAGGGGAGTACAAGCGCATGTTTCACAGGCGACTACTACCAACACGGATGAAGTAAGTTTGGGTAACTGAGCTCCTAGTCCGACAGTTTGTCACAAAACCACGGTACATATCAACTGGTTTAGGTTTGGTGGAAACCACAGTTTTCTGGCAATTATGGCAGAGGTATCTGACAACATATTTTGGTACCTGATTCAATCATTGCCTTACCGACTAATAGCTTAGAACGTTAGGACATCTCCCAGGCGTCTTGTTGATAATATCATTCCCCCCTCTCTAAACAATTAGCCCTTTGGCCATGATGAAAAATACGAATGCTCAAAGGACAAAAGGATGAAAATGAAAGTACCAAATTATTCCAAAAACGGCCCTTTTCGCCATATCTATGTTTTATGGTTAAACCATTTCTACATCATCCCAATATGCCGCTGGGTTAGATGAACGAGAGAGGTTCCATATTTCTCCCGCCAAACTTGATCGGAGGTCAACCATACACAGGTCTACCCTCTTTGCCCCATTGAAATATGTCTTGTAGTTGCTCCAACCTTTGCATAAGCCCGCTTTCCGAGATTGCCCACGTGCATATCATAAACACAACACCATCACCCTAGAAATCCTTCAAAATCCATACAAGCAGCTGGAAGAGAAGAGAACAAAAGATGTATGGATGAGATAGACCGTCATTCTGACATATATTCACAAGCTTGGCTGTTTATCTTTCCCGTTTACTTCTTATTTCGTTTCGATCTGTTTCTTCAAGGGGTTAATATAGCGATAGAGAGATATATGTCCAATCCTCATCGTTTAAATGTCCGTAATTAATTCTCCGCATGAATGAAACTTGAAATGTAACGGACTTAGTAGAACCCATTGAAAGCCGCAAGCCTACACAGGTGGCAGCCGCACACATGTCATCTGTTCTCCCACATACAGAGTAACTTGCACATATGATCGTGAAGATTAATGCACTTTGTACTTACCCCGCAAACCATGTCAACATATTTCTTCCGACTTATGTCAACTATATCCCAGAGATAGGTGTAGGACAAGAGGACTAACTTCATGGACAAATAAACACATCATTATTACAGTTTACCCTCTCAATTTCCCGCTGGTCGTATATCCTTCTGTTAACGTCCCAGCCACACTTTGTCCTAGTCTTAGTTATCCCTCGTTTGTCCCTTGGGGTTAAATTTCTCTGCTTTAGGAGAGAAAACAAGAAAAGAAGAAAGGTTGGCTTCAACAAAATCTTATCACCTCTGCCTTGTCATAATTGAATAAGAAACACATTCACGGGGATATCTTCTTTTTTGCGTCTTCTTTTCACATCAGAAACTTTATTCTACTAAAAAGATAAGAGAAATGGGTTCAAAAAAGCGAAGGGAAGCACGGGAAGGGAACCAACCTAGCCCCGCTTATTCCAGAAGCTCGAGGATCGGCATATTTCAGGGTCATTAGGGTGCTGTTCATGCGTGTATGTGGAAATAGGCTCCGAATCCTCTCCGCTATGGTGATGCTATGGTGATCATCTTCAGGAGTCTGCCTTGAAACCTCCTGATCTGGAAAAGAACTATCTGCCGACTAATGAGAAATCCAAGAAAGAAGGAGGATTGTTCAATATTGTACGGTTCAAAGCAATCCTCTCCATTCCCCCCCCCTTTATTTCACCTCTAACACTCCAAACTGTAGTGTTTTGCAGACTTTGTAGTTGGCCCACTGAACTTGAAACTGGCCAGGGTGCTGTGCTATGGTGCCAAGCCGTGCCAAAACCAACCAAACAAGCAAACCGGACAAACCCCAGAATTTCCTTCCCCAGACCTGCCTTAGCCCAATGCCAACTCTCCAATCTCACTCCACTCTTTTATGATTCCAACTTCTCACTCTCGCTCTGGCTCTCATTCTTCAGGTCCACCCTCCTCTTCTCACTCCTTTTCCCCTCCTATTTCACCTTTGGAGATGGTCTCTCCTTTTCCGTCTGACTACGATTCCCCTCGTTCACACTCCCCCCGGAGCATCTGCATCATTTCCCCTTCTTCGATGCGCCGTGCTACGATAGCCCCTCCAGTCCAAGCATACCTCACTTTTCGGATATATAGCCCAACAGCTACTATCTGATATACCAGATCCTTATGTCAACAGCATAGCCTTACCCGCATCCATCAGCCAGCATTCTCTTCCCCACCTGGACGCCGAAATGGAGGGGGAGATGGGCTCTATGAACCCTGGTGGCAGCTGGAAAGAACAGGGAGGGCGGCTACAAGAAGATGCTCGACGCCAGAATCAAGTTCCTGCAAATGACGACGATAACGATGCCAAAAAGGAAAGTTCTACATCAGCCAATGAGCCGGTAGACAAGGAAAATCCCCGACCTTGGAGTGAACTGAAAACCAAGGCAGGGAAAGAGCGCAAAAGACTACCACTCGCTTGTATCGCGTGCCGGAGGAAGAAAATTCGCTGTTCGGGAGAGAAGCCAGCTTGCAAGCACTGCTTTCGCTCCAGAGTTCCCTGTGTATATAAAGTCACCACACGAAAAGCCGCACCCCGCACAGATTACATGGCTATGCTGGATAAACGACTGAAAAGAATGGAGGAGAGAGTTATCAAAACCATCCCCAAAAATGATCCGAGAGATATGGCTGCTATTGGACGGGCAGTAGTCAAACCCACCGTGCCGGGACAAACACCTCGCGGGTCCAGACCAATCCACAAAAAGAGATCAGCAGATGAGGCGTTCCATGCAGTCCTTAATGAATGGACGCAAGGGAATAAAGCCTCCGCACCCGATGACTTCCCCATCTCCTGGCAATGGCAAATTCCTGATGAGAATAAACTTTATAACGAGGGGGCGGAGTTTCTTCCTTCTACCGAACTCCAAGGACATCTCGCAGAAGTTTTCTTTGACTGCGTCTACGGCCAGTCCTATCTCTTGTTGCATAAACCGAGCTTTATGCGCAAGCTTAACAGAGGGAATGTTCCACCTGTTCTGATGTTGGCAATCTGTGCGATTTCTGCTCGTTTTTCAAATCACCCCCTTGTTAATACGGAGCCGGCCTTTTTGCGCGGAGAAAATTGGGCGAATGCTGCGGCGAATATTGCACTTAGTAGACATGATGAGCCTAACATTACCATCCTTATTGTGTTTCTTATCTTGGGACTCCATGAATTTGGCACCTGTCATGGCGGACGGAGTTGGTCTTTTGGAGGCCAAGCGTTGAGAATGGCTTATGCCCTGCAGCTTCATCGCGAACTCGACCATGATCCCCGGGGCAATAGCAAAGCGTCGGAGCTCAGCTTTACTGATCGTGAAATCCGACGACGGACAATGTGGGCGTGTATCTTGATGGACCGGTACAACTCGTCTGGCAGCCAAAGGCCACCCAGCGGTAACGACAAGTTCTTGCAGATACAACTTCCCATTAAAGAATCGTATTTTCAATTGGAGATTCCTGGGCCAACAGAGGACCTCGATGGTTCGGTGCCTAATCCTGTTCCTGAAGGAGTGGGACAATTATCCAACGCGAAGGAGAATATGGGAGTCTCTGCGTATACGATCCGTGCCCTGATGCTCTGGGGACGGGCCGTAGATTACCTTAACCTTGGCGGCAGAAACAAAGACCCTCTTCCCCTCTGGCATCCAAAATCTGGTCACACAGAGTTGAAGAACCAGCTGGAAGATTTCTCTGCATCTCTTCCTAATACCTTAGCATTTACTCTGGAGAATTTGCGTCACCATTCGGCGGAGAAGACCGCAAACCAATTCCTATTTCTACATATAGTTATTCACCAAAATGTTCTCTTCTTAAATCGATTTGCAATTCCACTATCCCCTGGTGGGAAACCCCCGAAAGATATCCCTCAACTCTTTCTTAGCGATGCTGGTCGCGCAGCTGTGGAAGCTGCAAGCCATATTTCTATGTTAATTAATCAGGCGTCAGGTTATAATTTAACAGTTCCATTTGCTGGCTACTCCGCATATGCCGCCAGCACAATACATATCTGGGGCATATTTTCCAAAAATTCAAGACTTGAAACGACATCAAAAGAGAATCTCCGCCATACATACAGATACCTGAACAAGATGAAACGGTACTGGGGAATGTTCCATTATATGGTCGAGAGTGCCAAAGATCGATATCGCCAATTCGCGGACGCTGCCATGAAAGGGGTGTATTTCAACTCTTCGGACCAAGATGCTTCATTATTCCAGTACGGCGATTGGTTTGATAAGTATCC